TGGTACCCCTATAATTTGGATGTTAGAATGTTTTTTTAAATGTTTTTTAAAAGATTTTACTTCTTTATCTTTTAGAGGAGAAGGAAAGGAGAGATGGAGAGAAATATCAATGTATGGTTGCCTCTCATGGGTCCCTTGCTGGGAACTGGCCTGCAACCCAGGCACGTGCCCTGCGACTGGGAATCAAACCACTATTATCTGGTTTGCAGGCCTGCGCTCAATCCACTAAACTACACCAGCCAGGGCCTGGCTGTTAAAATGTTTAAAGATATCCTGGAGGTTCCTAAGCCTCTCCTCATTTTTTAGAATTCTTGTTTCTTCATTCTTTTCTGATTGCATGTTTCTTTCTTCCTTTTGGTCCACTCCATTGATTTGAGTCCCAGTTTCCTTCCCATGACTATTGGTTCCCTGCGCATTTCCCTTTATTTCACTTTGTATAGCTTTCATTTCTTTCTTTATTTTGTGACCATACTGAATCATTTCTGTGAACATCCTGATTACCAGTGTTTTGAACTGTGCATCTGATAGGTTGGCTACCTCTTCATCGCTTTGTTGTTGTTTTTTTTTCTGGAGCTTTGATCTATTCTTCTGTTTGGGCCTTTTTTTTTTTTTTTTTGCTGTTGACACGCCTGTTATGTGGTGAGAGGCAGAGCCTTGGGTATTCACCAGGGCAGGGTAACCTAGGGCGCTGGGTTGTGATGTTGTATGTGGGGCAGGAGTCAGAGAGGGAACAATGGTGCTTGCTCTCTGCCAGCTTTCAGTCACATCCCCTGCTTCCCACAAGCAAACTGGGCCCTCCTGGTACTGATTCCCATATGGATGGGTTTGTGTACATTCTAGGATCCTGTGGGTCTCTCCAACAAACTCTCCTGTAAGGCTGGGAGTCTCTCCCAGCACCACAACCCTTCACAGGTGGTTTCAATTGGTGTTTTGAGGCTTAATTTCCCTGCATTGGAACCCTTTGTTGAGCTGTCTGTCTCGCTCCGCAGTTTCTCTGGTTTATCTGTGCGTGAATGTGGGACCACCCGGTCTGCCATCTGCCTTGTGCACCCCGCCAGTCCACAGTCTGCTGCCTCGCTGGGTCCACCCACTGCTGCCCCTCACACCCGGGTCCACCAGCCACCACTTTTTTTGCTGTGAGCCTTCTCCACTGTTTGCTGTTGCATTTTTAAATTTCATATATTGTATATTTGTCTTCCAAATTTCAGGTTCTTTTTAAATAATTTTTATCTTTATTATAAACTTATTTTTGCTTATATTTTTGTGCATTTGTTGAGTTATTTTTCTGTGTTTTCTTATTGTGCTTCCTTAAAGAGCTATTTTTAGTTTTTTTGGAGTGAATCACAGATCTCTATGTCCTGGCATTGGTTACTGGAATTTTTCACATTTCTTGAAGTCATGCATTGCTCTCTTAGCATGTGAACTAGCAGTCACCTCCTTCTGTCTTTATTACTTAAATGGCTTTAGAAGGGAAATATCTCCCATCAGCCCTACTAGGGATTCTGAGGCTCCAAGCTTCTTGCTCCCTTTGCAACATAATTTTTATGCTTCTGCTCATTTGCTTAATCCTGCAACTGTTTGTTTCCTAAGGGCAGGTCTAAAGCTCAAGTTTGTTTCTCTCCCTGACCCACAGATTCAGGCTGGCTTTCTGTACCACTAACTATTGTCTAACAAAACTTGGTCTCCTTGCCATAGGTTCACACAGGAAGCTGGCCACAGGGCGGGTGGTGGGTAGTTAAGGCCCATGGAATATTAGGGGTGCTCATTGGCCAACTGGAGAGATCTGCTCATGAAGCTCCCCAATGGCTTGTGGATGAATTTCTTAATGAAGTTGAAGACACTGTTAATAGGATCCATGACTCTTCTATGTCCTCCAAAAGTCCCATCTGGCCCTCCTCCTAGCTTTTTTCCACCTCTTGTCATACAGCTTACCACTCAGGACTCTGGATGGGGCGAGAGAGAAAGGGGCCTCTTTGGCAGCATCTGCACAGCAGGGGATCTGGGTTCTCACTCACTCACACACTCTCACTTCCCCCACAGGAAAGACCACAGGCTCAGATGGTGGTTTCTTTTGGCACTGAGCTGTGCTCTCTTAGTGGAAGAGTCATGTAGGGTAAAGTCAAATTATTCCTCTTACCTTCTTCAGTGCATTCAAACTCATATTTCTTTGCTCCAGTGATGTGCTGGAACTTCTTTGCTGGAAACTTGAACTTCCGCAAAGTTCTCTCATCCATGGGTGATCGTCCAGACTGTTCTCCAGAGGCTTCTGGGCCACATCTGTGCAACCAGAGTTCACAGGCCATTGGTGGATCCACAGGGGAAACTGAGGTATGTATTCCTATTATATGATGCACGGGTGGGCAAGACTCTTCCTGGGTTCTTTGGCATATGATGCTAGATCTCTTAGCCCCCACAAAGGCACTTTTGTTTGGGGATGGATACAATTGTTGTTAAGAGATGGATATGGGGAAGTGGATGGTTTGCAGCCCTGTCCTTAGACCTTCTCCAAGGTCCCTTGAGATTCCTGACTGTAGCTCTGAATGACCAGATGGTGAGGAGAGGAGACACATCGGGTCAATAAGGCCCCAAGGAACAGCACAGAGGCCACAGGCCTTCTGCAGGGCCACACCAGGGCCCTGGCCGTCTGCCTTGGTCTCTGGGAGCTGAGGGTTGGCAGCAAGGTCTTTGGAAGAAGAGAGCCAGTCATCAGCTCCCTCCCTACCCGGCCGGGCACAGTTTGAAAAACGCCAGGAGAGATCTATTTGCTTAGAGTATCAGAGAGAGGAGTGGGCATGAGAAAACACAGGAGAGAGCTCTGATCACCCATGGAGTCAGTCTGTGGTTGCCAGCTTGGAAGATTGAGAGTCGCCCATGCGTTGCCTCATAGCACTGGGAACAGCTGGTGCCCAAGCCTGCAGGACCAGGGAAGCCTGGCTGGGAGCGTGCGCCCAAACCCCAGGCCAGGACTGTGAATCCTGGGGAAAGTCTGCTCTCAGTGGGGCTCTCAGTGGGGAGAGGCGCTGGTCCAGATCTTGGGACAGCACTCATGAGACCAGCTGAGTTCACCAAGAAGGGAGAAAGGCCACACCAATTACCCCTCAGACTGCTGCAGGTAGTGTGACCAGAAAAAAAGGTTTGACCAACTGTAAACCAACAAGAGCTGGTTTTGGGGAGTTTTTTTGCTTTTTTAAAAAATAACCTTTTATTTTTTTAACTTTATTATTGTTTTATCTTTCAATACTTTTACCCTCTTTCTTCTTCTTTCTTGTTTTATTTCCTCTTCTTTTCTTTCCAAACCTACTGCTTTTTCCTCCCTTCTGCTGCCTTTTTTTTCTTTCTTTCTTTTCAACCCCTTCCTCCCGAAGTGAGACAAAAGACTTGGAATGGTGAAAAGGCCGGAGTTGGACTCAAAGAGGGGGCATCCCAACGCTAGAGACAGAGAGACAAAATTCACTTTGCTATAACAGAAAAACTACAAGTTACTGCATATTTGTATTTTTTCATTTTTCTTGCATCTTTTATTTTAATAGTATCTCTGTATTCCTCCTCTCAATTATAGTCCTTTTTACCTTGGCCGGATATATAGTATCACTTGACAGGTTTCCCCTGTCCCCTCAATCATAGTGTATTGCAAATTTACTGTCCTTTACTTGCCCTTGCCCAGTTAGCACACTATTGCAGTCCAATACTCCGTAATCTTGCTATATCATAGATTATGTCATATTATTGTTGCTCTAATATTATTATAAGTAATGATTGTTACATACTATTGTAAATACTACACAACACCCCCCCCTCCGATCTTAGCCCTCTTCATTGTTGCCTGAACTATAACACTGCAGTGGTTAACTCTATTGTCTCTCACATTACACCTACTTACCATCCTTTATTCTCACGTTACCTCAAAATCTGACCTCCTTCAACCTCACTCCTTTCTAGATCCAAATCACAAAACTTCCCTCCCCAACAAGAGTCTTATCTTCCTTCAATTCTTCCTAAAAAGTGGCTAGCTGGGTTGAAGATTATGGTTATTGCTGTACATAGCCAGGGGATCACCTATCTCTTCTCTGCCAGCTACTACTGTAAATATCATAGAATACTCTCCTGCTGTCATAAACCAGTATGCCTTCCCCTCTAACTGATTACACACACACACAAAAAGAGTAGGTGGAAGCGGTGAACACTCCCTACCAGAGTGGGGCATTTGTTACTAGTGATGAACCCACATGGACACATCACTATTACCCAGAGTCTCCAGTTCACATGGGTGCTTGCTCTCAGTGTTGCACATTAGATGGGTTTGGGCAAATGGAAAACGACCTGTGTCTACTACCATTACAGTAACATTCAGAGTGTTTACTGCCCTAAAAATCTTCTGTGCTCTGTTACCTACTTTGTCATGATCATCTCTGGTTCGGATACCCTGCATGCAATACTAATTCCTAGTCTGCATTTTTAATTACTCTCTTCTATCTCAGGAAGCTTTTTCTCCTTGAATCTTTCCCACCTCCTCCCAAAAGGAGACCAACATAAAAACCTGTTGCATACAACATACCTTGACTAAAAGTTTATGGGCTATAAGAAAGGGACGTATCTTTTATCTGAGAGTAAAAACCTAAAGTCATAATTACAACTTTTGGTCTAAAAGTTCTCTTAGCAACCTCTTTACCAGAAATATGTCACTGACTATTATACCCTATCTATTGTCTCAGTTTAACCCAATCTTAGTCTCTCTCATTCCAGAGAGGAAAAATTCCTCCAATTAATGTATGAAAAAAAATCATCTATATCTCCAGGCTTGAATCTCCTAAATCATTAGAGGGACCAAAAAGCTAACGTGCTTTTCACATAATATGGTACATTGTTTTTAACAAATTAATTATGCATATAACTAGCAATGTTTACTTTTTTAAAGTTTTTATTTTTTTAATTACAGTTGACATTCAATATTATCTTATATTAATTTCAGGTGCACAGCATAGTGGTTAGACATTTATAGTAAAAATATGGAAAATTTCTTGAATTTATAAGTCATCCTTGCACAGGGGCCATGATAACCTTCTCTGTATGGTTCCAATTTTAGTGTATGTGCTGCCTAAGCAAGAACTAGCAATCTTTTCCTATGTATTTGCATGTAATCTCTAAAACACTGCTTGTATATTAAGATTATTCAAATTCTGTCAATACCTCTGCATGTTATTATCATTCCCACATTGTGGGTGAGAAAAATATGGTTTAGAATATTAGACACTTCCTAGTGTTACAGAGTTTCGAATACCAGCTATAAGGTATCGAGTCCTGGATTTGGATTTAGGTTTCTTTGTACCGAACTATTCTGTATTATTTACTACGTTAGTATTTATCTTTTTCCCCCAGTTACATTTCAAGCTCACTGAGGCATGTGACGTGAACGGGGACAGCCTCATACATTTTGTAGCCCCTACACGATGTCATCCTAGATGTAATGCATGGACTCAGTAATTAGAGTGGAAAGACTGAGGCAACGTGCTGAACATGATTCAAAAGGCAAAATGGCTTCAAGTCGGGTCACATACACTCTCAAGAGTAAGGCCTTGGACACACTCAGGAGAGCCAGAGAATCCCCTCTGTTGCTCCCTTTCTTCTGCAAGGGTTTCCACTGGGAGACTGAATCTAAAGGAGGATCCAGCACCCACAGCTACTGCTACATTATCTCGACCACGTTGTCCTCCACCCATGCGGCCCTCCCACCCTACCCCGCCCCAGGGGCCATGCTTTCCACTCTCATAGGCTCATGATTCCTTAGCCAGGAGCAGAGAGGGCCAGGGGGCCAGCCATACCGGGCTGATCTGCTGCTCCCAGGGGGCACAGGGACACCCAGGGATTCAGTGGGCCTGACCTCAGCTTATCTGCCTGGACGCACCCTGCAGCCACATTCCCTCTCCTGTCCCTGATGTACTGTGGAGGCGCAGGGAAGTCTACATGTCTGTAGAGCAGGACTTCGTCTGGGAGGTGAGGCAAACTACATCTGTATTCTAAGGACCCCAAATATGCCTGTGGTTTTTACTCCCATTGCTTTCCATTTGTCACCAACCTTAAGTAGACAAAGTATTTGGTCCTTCTCAGATACATGCATTAGTGTTGTATTCTAATGCTTTCCTAATTAACTTTCATTTATTCTCCTGCCTAGAGAATTCCTATCTCCTCAAAGGTAAAGAGAGGAACGGTTCTAATATCCTTCATTTTTTAAAGTAAATTTAAAGTTTTGGGGTTTTGTTTTTTTACTTTTTGGTACCAAAATTTTGACTTTGGTACTTTTGAAATTCAAATTTGCTTTCCCTTCTCTGTCAAAACTTTTAAAAGCTATATTATAGTAAGTATGGATTTCCCTCTTGGTTTTTGTGTTGCTACTATAACAGATGTATACCTATGGCACAGGGTATATATTATTTTTATTGATGCCGGAATTGAGGGATGAATGGCAGTGGCCAAGGGTGGAAACCACAAGAAGAAAGAAATATTTTTTAATATTTTTTAATTTCATTTTTTAGAAAGGGAGAGAGGGAAAGAAACATTGATATGTGAGAGAAACATCGATTGGTTGCTTCTAGCTTGCCCCCAACTGGCATGCTCCCCAACCAGGAATTGGACCGGTGACCCTTGTGTGCATAGGCTGGCGCTCAACCCACTGAACCAAATCAGCCAGGGTAAGAGAGAAATCTTAACCTCATCTAAGATATCAAGATATCATCAAGCTATATTCGGTTGCTCCTGTGTTACTGAGCATGAAATATGATCTGGAAAATAAAGTCAAGGGGGCCTGAAGCATAAGGGTTTGCCATTTTTTGCCATGGTCCTAGTCAGCCCTGTGTTAAAAGAAAGGAAAAAATTCAATAAAAGACCTCATAAAGGGGATTTATTGCTCCCATGAACATCAGAATAGCAAGGAATTAGGTAGATGGATGGAATATCACAGGGATCCCCATGGTAGGTAATGACTGAGAGAAGAAAAAAATATCAGGAGTTGAGAGGTAAACTCGTGCAATCTGTGACTCTGAGAGAATAGCAGCTGAAGTCCCAGAGAAGAGATAAGAGGAAGGGTATTGGAGGAGAGACGGAATATGATGAACTTGGTCAGAGAACAGTGCTGGGTCATCTAGCACATCCACTCTTCTCAAAGACTGTCAGTGCACCTGCAATAACAGGACAGACATGAGATCCATAGGTTGAAGATATCCTGTGATATCTTCATGCTGTTTTACAGTTCTGCAACTTTTCAAACACAACTGTGCCCACAACCTCTTCCCACTTCCATTCCTCTTGTACTGCATTTCCAGGTCCCAGCTCTAACAAAGCTGAATCCTTACCTTCCTTCCTGGAGTGTGACTCACAAGGGCCCTTGGTGTCTGGAGCCACCACCTGGGCGCAGGCCCTGGATAATGAAGACAGTGCCCACCACGATGCCCACGAGGCCCACGGCCAGCCCCAGGGCGCAGACCACAGTCTCTGTCAGCTCTGACATGGGAGTTGGAACTTCAGGCTCTGTAAAAGTGAAGTTGTGGAGATCAGAATGTAGAAGGTTGATTCACATGCCTGTTTGTGGGATGGGAAGGAAGGGGTGGTGTTGGCTCTACAAAGACTTTGCACCATGTTTAGGGAGAATAATAGGGAATATCATTAGAAATCCTTGAAGTGTAGAAAACAAGCTTTGGGACATGAGGTTTTGGAGCTAAAAGGCAGGATGTTCTGACCTGACAGAGAAAAGAAGGCACCAACAGGCATGGAACTGACACACACCCCAGTGTTTCAGAAGTGGCTCGTCCAGGCCCCAGTGCTCCACCCTGCAGTCATAAATGTCATCAGCAGAAGCAAGGAAGGTGAGGTAGCTGATCTTGAGGAAGGAATGATCATTCTTGGACAGGAAGCTGGTTTCAGAAACACCCTCTGTGACTGGGTGCCCATTGCTTAGCCATGTGATGTTGACCACAGGAGGGAAAATGTTGTTCATGGCACAGATGAGGGTGTTGGGCTGACCCAGCTCCACATGAGACTTGGGAAACACAGTCACTTCAGGAACCTCTGTGATGAGGAAACAGCGCTAGACTTAGAATGGCAAATAGCTCTTCCCTGAGGGTTCCCATTGCATCCTGGAGGAGCCCACCCACCACTGTTTTCCATTCTGCTTGTGAACGGTTACACACTGCCTGTGCTTCCTCCCCATGTGCTTCCTCCTCCGAGGGCCTGCTTGCTAAGGTAGGAGGTCTATGGCATCTGTCCTTGAAGGATTCAAGGATTGTGAAATGGGAGCAAGAATCTTTGTATTACATGGAAATAGGTGACTTGTGAGAAGGGAGAGGACGGAGGTTCAGCAATTATCATGAGATGATCTGGGGACTCCTTGGAAAGGAGAATATTTTATAGAGTAGTGAAGGGTATCTATTGGAGGCAAGAAGGGAGTGAGGCCTGGTATGAAAGGGCAGATTCAGTAAAGAGCCAGATTGATGGTTATACGAAACCACTTCACAAGGCATGGAAATGTAGCTCAGCACCCATGTGGAAAACCAGTGGGGAGTGAGGCAGCAGACAGGACCACACCCATGAAGAAGTTCTCCCATGGGAAATCAGGCCTGCATTATACCTAGGCTGTTTTGAGACTTGCTCTTGCTAAAACTCCCTCACCCTGAGTTGAAGCAAAAAATGCTTACTGCATATCTTTAAAGTAACTTCCTGAAGTCTGTGCTAATTCTGTCAAGGATTGAAGTATAACCAGACCTGTTACTCTTATTGTTCCCTTGCATTTGCAACATTTTTTCCTTGGTAATTTGTAAGAAGTAATCAGTAACATCCCTTCCATTGCTATCTGTAAAAAGTAATTACCTAAAACAAACCTAAGCATAATGAATGAAAACCTTCTTTGATGTATGCTATTAGAAAGCCAATAAAAGCCTGTCAAGACAAGGGTCAGGGTGCTCTCCCATTGAGAGAATGGCTGTGTCTTGCCATCCCTTTTCCTCCATAGGACTCCATAGTCTGTGTGAATTTATCTCACCTCATCCATAACACCACAGACACTGCTGGCCAGTGTCCACATCAGGTGAACACATACCACTGACAGCCACAATACAGTTGGAGCATTTAATCAGGACATCTTGAGTTGTGTTTTGCTGTAGCCACTTCTCTCAGTCCACCTTGTGGGTCAAAACCGCTGAATGTGCTGAAAACTCAGGCAGCCGCCAGATAGTCTCCTTCTTCTGCAGGTCCACGTAGAATTCCTCATCTCCATCAAATTCAAAAGTGTACTGGCCTGCGGTGCTGTAGGACTGGTAGACATTGTGCCAGCAACGTGGTCAACTGATTGGGGGTGGGGAGCAGGGAGGTGGAAAACAGAGAGAAAAGGATCTTATTAAACCAAATGACAGAATGAACTCACTTAAAAACATTGTGGGCTCCACCTTTGGCAGAGGGTTTAGATAATTCCCAGCACTTGCTTCCTCCCCTTGGTTGTCCAATAGAATCCATAACGGTTTTCTTCCCTGAAGTCTCCAGAAGGAATGTGCCTCACCCACATAAACTCTGGATATTCAGAATTGTAAAAATATTAATTTTTGCTTCCTAAGTATGTGGTAATTTTTTTACAGCAGAATCAGGAAATTCACAGAAATAACACTAGAAAAACTAAATAATTCCAAAAGATTGAAGGGGAGAGAAACTTCCAAACTTATTTTACAAAACCAGAATTATACCAAATTCTGGTTTTGTACCCAAAGCCTTATACCAAAGTCAGAAAAGGGCACTAAAAGAAAAAACTCACACACACAAACATACAAATATAAATTGATATCTCTAATGAGCATAGATGCAAAAATTCTCAGTGAAATATTATCACACAGCAATCAACAACATATTCAAAGGATCATAGAGCATGATTAAATCAAATTTATGCCTAGAATACAAAAAGAGTTCAATGCCCACAATTAATAAATATGATAGAGCACATTAATGAAAGATAAAAATCATATGGTCATCTTATAGATGCAGAAAAGAAATTTTTTAAATATAACATTCACTTTTGATAAAAATACTCAACAAATTGGTAACAAAAGAAACATACCTCAAAATAATAAAGGGCATACACAAAACACCCACAGCTAACATTATGCTCGATGGTGAATGTTTGAGAGCTTTTTCTCTAAGATGAGGAAAAAGACAAGGATGCCTCTTTCACCGCCTTTGTTCAACAGAGTGGTGGAAGTCTTAGTTTGAGCACTCAGGCAAGATAAAGAAAGAGAAAGCATCCAAATTAGCGAGGGAGAAGTAAAATTTACATTATTTGCACTTGATATGATCTCATACATAGAAAATACCAAAGAGTCAAACAAAAAACTTTTGGAACTCATCAAAGAATTCCCTGAAGTTTTAGGATACAGAATCAATATACACAAAATGTGTTTCTATACACTAACAATGAAATATCTGAAAAATAACTAAAGCTCTCTCATTTACAATATCATCAAAAACAATATAATGCTTAGAAATGAAACTATAATACTCTGATGAAAAATATTAAAGAAGACACATATCAATGGAAAGATATTCTGTTCTCAAAAATTAGAAGAATTGATATTATTATAATATCTACTCTACTCAGAGCTAATAGAAGATTCAATGCAAACTCTATCAAATTCCAATCGAATTATATACATAAATAGAGCAAATGATTCTAAAATTCATTTGGAATCATAAAAGATTCAGAAGAGACAAAGCAATCCTAGGAAAAAATAAATAAATTTGGATGTATCACACTTGCTGATTTTAAACTAAGCTACAAAACTATAGTAATTTTAGTCATATGGTACTGGCATAGAAATATGCACATATGCTCAACAAATGCTGCTGGGATAACTAAATAACTGCATGCAGAAAAATGAAGTTAGACCCATATTTAACACCATTCACAAAAACAAATTCAAAATAGATTAAAGATCTATACAAATAAAAAACATACTTTTTTCCAGAGAACATTCAAATGACCAACGGGTACAGAAAAAGAAGCTCATGTCACTAATCATCAGGGAAATGCAAGTCAAAACCATAGTAAGTATCACTTCACATCTGTGAGAGTGGCTGGAACCAGGAAGATGAAAAACAACAAGCATTGGTGAGTATGTGGAGAAAGGAAAGCCCTAGTGCACTATTGTTAGGTATAGAAACTGGTTTGGCCGCTATGAAAAAAGAGCATGGAGGTTTCTTAAAATAATTAAGGAATTATTGTAAGTTCATCTGTTTGAAAATGAGTCAGAAAAAGGATGACAGAGACTTCCGCCAAGATGGAGGCATAGGTGGAGACGCCGTGCCAACCAAGTTTAGAGACAACAAAATATTAGCAACAGAGAACACAACTAGAACACAAAAATTTGAACTTTTCAGAAGTCTGAAAACAACGAATGCTTCAGCCTGACCAGTAAGAGGGGCGAAACCAGCAGCTGGCGGAGCGGGGTTGCACAGGAAAACTCGGTCAGAGGACTCAGGCAGGCGGATCTTAGGTGTGGGGTTGCAAAGGGTCGACCCAGTGTGAGACCCAGTGAGTGACCCAGTGAGCGACCCATAGATCTGGCGAGGGCACAGGGCGGTGCATTGACTGTGGTGGCTCATTCCTGAGCAGACAGACCGCGAGGGAGTGGGCAGTGAGACGGGACCCAGCGGGCCCCAGTAGCAGGAGGCAGCAGAGAGGGCCGCCATTTCCCCACTCTGACCGCGCCCCCACATATAGCCTCACAACCCAGCGACCTCGCCCTGGGGGCCCTGCCTCGCTCCTAAGGCTCCGCTCCTCATACTTAAAGGGTGCGAACAGACCAAAAAATGGCTCAAGAAGATCTCAAAGCCCCAGAGCCCATAACTCTAAGCGACAAAGAAATAGCAAAACTTTCAGATGCACAGTTCAAAACACTGGTGATCAGGATGCTCACAGAACTCATTGATTTTAGTCACAAATTAGAGGAACATATGAAGGCTAAACTAATTGAAATGAAAGGAATTACACAGGAAACCAATAGTGATGAAAAGGAAACTGGGTCTCAAATCAAGGGAGTGGACCTGAAAGAAGGAAAAAATGACCAAACAGAAAAGGATGAAGAAACAAGAATTCAAAAAAATGAGGAGAGACTTAGGAGCCTCCAGAATATCTTTAAATGCTCCAACATTCAAATTATAGGGGTACCAGAAGGGGGAAAGGAACAGCCACCAGTGGAAAACTTATTTAAACAAATAATAAAGGAGAATTTCCCCAATCTGGCAAAGAAAATAGACTTTCAGGAAATCCAGGAAGCTCAGAGAGTCCCAAAGAAGCTGCACTGAAGAAAGCACACACCAAGGCACGTCAGAATTACATTAGCCAAGATTAAAATGAAGGAGAGGATCCTAGAAGCAGCAAGAGATAAGGGGACAGTCACCTACAAAGGAGTTCCCATCAGACTGTCAGCTGACTTCTCAAAAGACACCTTACAGGCAAGAAGGGACTGGAAAGAGGTATTCCAAGTCATGAAATCCAAAGACCTACAACCAAGATTACTCTATCCAGCAAAGCTTTCATTTAGAATGGAAGGGCAGATAAAGTGCTTCTCAGATAAGATCAAATTCAAGGAGTTCATCATCACCAAGCCCTTATTATATGAAATGCTAAAGGGACTTATCTAAAAAAAGAAGATAAAAAAGATGACAGCAAACTCACAATTATTAACAACCACATCTAAAACAAAAGCAAACTAAAAGGACAGCTAGATCAGGAGTGAACCATAGAAATGAAGATCTCCTGGAGGGTTAGCAACAGGGGAGTGGGAGGAGGAGAAGGGGAGAGAAGGTACAGAAAATAAGTAGCATAGATGGTAGGTAGAAAATAGATAGGGGGAGGGCAAGAATAGTATGAGAAATATAGAATCTAAAGAACTTGAGACACATGGTCATAAACTAAAGGGGGGAATGGTGGGGGTGGGGGGTGCAGGGTGGAGGGGAATGAAGGGGGGAAATAGAACAACTGTAATGGCATAATCAAAAAAATAAAAATTTTTTAAAAAAGAGGATGACAAATACTACGTGGTATCACCTATTTGTGAAATCTATAAAAACCAAACTCAGAGAAACAAACTAGAATACTGGTTATTAGGAACTGAGTCATCAGGTAACAGGGAAAACGTTGATCAAAAGGTACCTACCTGCCTGCAAAGAGTTTTGGAGATCTAATGCACAGCATTGCAATTATAGTCAACAACTTTACATTATATACATCAAAGTTGCTAGGAAACAAGATTTTAAGTATTGTCACCACTAAAAAATGATAATTATATGACATGAGAGAGGTGTTAGCTAATGCCGTAGTGGTATTCCTACTGCAATATATTAACATATCAAATAAAAACACAGTATACCCCACTATATAAACAAAATATTTATAAAACATGTGAACCAAAACCTAAACAATTAGGTAGGAAAAAGTAAATGGCTAGATCAACTACCACCATGTATTTATTGTAAGACTTAAGTTTTTAAAATGTCAATTCACCTCAACGTGGTTAATACTTTCATTGCAACCTCAATTGTAATATCAGCAGAACTTTAAAAAATAGATTGAACCAGAACAAAAAACTGAGCAATAGCCAGAAAGAAGCCTCATCACGTCCAACAGACAGAAGAATTGGCCTGGGCACAACCTATATGGTAAGGAGGTGGTGGAGACTTGAGAGGGCTGGCTGGGTGCTTAGAGGCCTGAGAAGAATGGAGTTAAACCCTAAGATGGGATCCCCAGCCTACAGCCCCAGGGCCCAAAAAGTACACAGGTAATAACCAGCAGCTAAAAGCAGAAGGGTTGCAGAGACAGACAGGAGATGCAAGAGCCATTTAAAGGGCCAACACACAAATTTTTATTTACCTTGGCCTGTGTACCTTGTACCATGTACCATTTACCTTGGGCTCTGGCAAAGGGGGGACAGTGGGCTGGTGATGCCTGAGGAGAGACCGAGGACAGAGGCTTTGGGGAGATAATTGAAAGAGTAGATGCCAAGATCTGGTGCTGAGCCAACCCCCACACTCAACAAATATCCTGCTCAAGTAGACCACTCCCCTCAGAGCAGCAGCAGCCCAAGGGGAAACAATAACCCCCACCCCAGGAAGGATTCAGCTCCACCCTATGGTGCTTAAACTTGACTGCTAAGTGCAGAGTAACTAGATTAACATCTGAAGGAGACAGCCAGGGACAGTAGATCCCTGGAAGTCTCAAACAGGCTGCCTAAGGTTAGATGGGTGCAACATCTGACATCACCAGAGGTGGTTCCAGAAAGAAAAAAAC